GTACGACTGCGACCACAATTTATTTATCGTATCTTGTTTTTTTTTTCTTTCATTATTTTGAAAATTTATATCCTTTAGTCATTATGAGTTTAAAAAAAGAACCCTGTAGTGCATGAGATTGAAAATCAAGGTTAGAAATCATATAGTGCATTTTCATATGATAACTTTAGATCTCTGTAAGCTTTTGCAAATATATGGAACTTCATGAATTTCTTCCACTTCTCAAAGATCGATCTCTATTTATAATATTTAGGCCATACTCGGAAGGGCCAAGGTTAATCTTCATTTTTTATTCTTATTAATCTGTATTTTCAGGTATTCCAACCTCTCTTTTCCTTCAGCGGGACAAACAAATTCTCTGAATTATTTTGCTCGTTAAGAAGAAATTGTTACATCGAAAACCCACCCTGAAAATACTAGTTACCCACGTAAACATGTACTTTTTGATGTAATTGAAACCGAAGACCTCGGCGAATTGAAGTAGATAAGATCGATTTCATTTTTTTTTAAACACCATGGTGACCAATATCACTAATTAAAATGGGCAAATCTAGTTTTATAATTGGTAAACTTGGTAACTATGGTGTAAATTAGAAATTTGTTAAAAAGTAAACTACAGTTAACGTTTCGTTAACTAAACATTAACTTTCCTATGGTTTCAAAAAAAAAAAAACAAACAAAACAAACAAACAAACACACAAAAAGACATGAATACTGTACGTGTAGAATAAATTTCAATGTGAAAAGGGATATACACTATCGTTTGTAAACTTCAGTTGATTACTTCCTATCGTTCAAGAAAGGAAGAAATATATCATATGCCCATATGCATATTCACTACTTACATGTAGATACCTTTTCAGAGTTTTATCAAGAAGAGCGAATTTTACCCAGAATGAACCGTAATTTTTGGTACAAGCAGCATATTGCAGCATATGTCGAATATTTGAGCAAGGTAATTCTTTTTACTAATATCAATTATAGGACCAATTTGACACAATATGCGTTGGGAAATCAATATTTTGCCAAAGGATTTCAAGATATAGATAAAATTAAAAAATAAACGTGATAAGAGCCACACGTTGTCATGGTTACGGAGAATTTAATAGTTTTTTAAATGATTTTTATCGTCTGTCAAGTATCGATGGAGCATGCGCTCTTTTACACTTGTTTGCAGATTTTATTAGATTTCAGTTTCTTCGAAACTGACATGTTTTATATCGAATTACATAAAATCGAAGTACTGGTGAGAGCCTTTACCGTGACCAAATACATGACACGTGTATATGCTAGAACTCAGTAGAAACGGTCGTTTAACCATCATCTCAATCCAAGGTTCGGAATCCACTCATACATGTAGCTCTCTCCAAGACTTGTTCCTACACTTTTTTCCCTTGGTCTGCGATGTCTTTCAATATTAACAAGCATTTATCAAGCTTTTGTATTCGGTTTCATTTTAATGTAAGGAGAGTCGCCAAGATAAGTAACGACTTTCATATTTCTCCTAGTTCCTTTAACTATTTTTGATTTAAAAAGCCCCGAAAATCCGCAAAACAAACATTCTACAGTTATTTAAAAAGTTTCGAATTCAATCTATTCAACCATTAATCACGATTTTAAGCTAAATAAACTCGCTGGTTTACATATCACTCTTGCTTCCTGACTTCTTGAACATCCTTTTCTATGAATATAAAACTCTAAACCCCCGGTAAAGGACAAAAGAATGTATCCGTCCCTTTGTCACATTAAAGTTTTGCAATTAAGAAAAACCAAGCTTTTTATAAAAATACACACCTCTCATGATCTTTTGCGATCTTTACATAGGCACAACGGTAATCTTTATCATCAACATTTTTGCATTCAAAAACCTTATTTTCTTTACCACTTTATACAAATATAGGGATATTCGCACATGTGATAAAGAAGAAAAATCTTGTGTATGACTTCTCCAAGAAGGCTAAGGAGACGTTACGTAAAGAAGTAATTAAATGGCACTTAGGTGTTTAACCAAAGAAGGAAGGCTAAATTGGCAATGTCCATCAAAATAGAACGTTATAGTCATATATCGACATTAAATAGTGCAAAAATAGTAATGAAGCAATATATGCTACTAATTTTGGTTAGAATTCACTTCCTTTCGTTCATCGACGTCATCAGAATAATGGTGGGTAACCTAATTATTTACGTAATCAGAGTTTTGAAAATGTATCTTTATGCACAAAAAAACCGAAAAAAGCATCTCTTATTTTAAGCATCAATGTAATATCAATTTAATGTCCAATAACTAAGAGTGGAATTGTCATTGTTTTCCAAATGCTTATGTTAAACAGCTCGGGGAGGTAGAGGCATTTTTCAACTGTTACATAAAACGATAGATCTGGTATTGTGAATCAAAAATTAAAGTACGTAGGATTTCATAACAACTAGAAGTCATACTAATTCTCATGATCATGAAATATGCAACAATTTTGCAAGTTATGTAGTCATGCAATCAGATTTTTATTCGGAACAAATTAATTTGGTATTCATTTTGTATCTATAATGGATGTGTTTTGTATTCAATCAGATTTTGATACGAAACAGAGTTGATTGGTAGCCATTCCCATTTTATATCTAACAGATTTGTTTTGTATTCCATCAAAATTTCCATATACGAAACAGACGAATGGGCTCTCAATGAAGACATTAGTGTATGCAACAATTAATGGCGCCCATCTTTCATATTCTAAGCAGCGTAGGTGGAGTAGGGATTTTCTCTTTTAAGGAAGCTCAAAAAGAAACTGACCACAGAAGAGTTCCAATTTCGTGGTAGTTTTGATATGCAGTTAAGAGTAATCTATCCTTGATATATAATATATAAACGGAAACATACAGAAAATGCCATTATTTTGAAAAATATATAGATTAATCTATTCTTAACATAATTATATGTATATATATTATACTTGAAAAAAAATATTTCCATGTATTTTCCTCATGTAAGTATACAACGACAATTTCCGTTTAATTAATAGTACTTCATTGTCCTTGATTATTTGACCGTTAGAAATAACGTAGATCTATACCCTATGTAGAAAATGAACTGGATAAACGTGATATGTACATCTTTAAATGATACAATTTTTAAAATAAATTCATTTGTCATTAGAGTTCCTAAATGTATAGTAATTAAAAGTCTGCCAACTTTTAAACATATACTAAACGAGACCTCACAGTGCTTATATCAAAGACAGAGAATGTCTTTCTTATGATATTTTGCCAATATTTTGTAGTTCATTTTCTCATGGATGAGCAGTTTAGGAAATCGATAAAAATTTAAATCGCAATGATTTTAAAATTATATGACTTTAAAGTATCGAGGCCGAGGACTTTTTTTTCTAATGTGAAGGTTTATTGTTTTCCCACCTATATCTTTACTTGTGTGAGTTCAATAACTGGGCCATTCAATCAACCAAGAAAGCCGGAAAGTAAAGTGCTGAACCAATTAAAACTGATTTTAAATTCCACCAAGGTTGTATTTGGCTACTTTCTCATACATGCACATTTTTAAATTAAAAGAACATCAGCTTTTACAACTTAAATTTGAGCATATTAATTTTATTTGCATGCTTATAACATGTAAGAATTTTCATAAACTTATATTATTTCCTGGGTATAATTCTATTGCATTTTTAATTGCACACGATTTAATGAAATCAGTAATCAGATGAATCATGACTCATTCAAAACACGTCTTTTTTCGAAATGATTTATTCTTTAAAGATTTATGCTGACCACAGAGTTTTCAGCATAGTCAGTCCCTACTCAGCTAAACTATATTACTTGTAAAAAGTTTCCTTAACAAAAATAGTCTTATCTATAGTTTTTAATTCTTTGAAAATTAGTTCCACTTTTTAAAAAATTAAATTAGCTTCAAAATCGACGATTTTCATTTCAAATCAATTTTAGGCAATAAAAATAAAATTATACACATTTATTTAGCTATAGAAATATCAAGCTACATAAAACTAAAACCTGGAATAACGTTCATTAGCGACGTTAAGGTTCAGCGACTCATTTAAACACAGTCCTGAGTCTGAAATACGACCCTCTGACTTTATGCATGAATAATGAATCCCTTGTCACGAAAATGCTATCAATTTCAGTAGTTTGTTAAATGTATATTTTAGCTTGTACACATATGTCAATATCGGCGATCGGAAATTTCAAAAGTTGTATAAATACAACGGTCTTTTATGAACAAGTGGCAATGATCCAATATATTCTTTGTCTGTTTTGTCAATTTTAAGAAATCATTCTCAATTCAAATGCTGATTTCAAATAAATGAAAAGAATTCATAAGTTAAAGATTTTCTTATTATACAAACACAACACTGAAAAATGTAGAAGTTGGTTTGTTTAGCTGTGGCCTTTATTTTTTTAAAGTGGTAAACTTTTTTTTAGGTATTAATCTCCATATAACATAGAGAAAAAAATATGACAAAACGATGCCTTTATCAATTTTAAATGAAGGATTAGTTTGTACGAGTAGTTGTATTCAAGAAAACGAACACAGAGCTAAACAGGTTCGAAATTATTACATATACTAGTATGTCAGACTATTATAACTTTGAATTGTACATGTAATAGCAATCTATGTTGTACGATTATGAAACACATTATGTATACCATAACTAGAACTAAATTTCAAGAGGTTCGCAAGTGGAAATAAAGAAGCCGGAAGAAGATTTAGGCAGGCCATATTAGCTGCATTAATGTAGCCCTCTCCTTTTTTTTTGGGGGGGGGGGGGGGGGCTTTCCAGAAAACATCAGATTAAAAAAAAAATCGGATAGGGCTACATTATTACAGCTAGGCCATCTTCGCTAGCCAAAGGTTTTCGGTTTATGGAGAACGGAGTGGACCGAAAATCTTTGGCTAGCGAAAATGAAGAAACGCATGAAATATAAATTATGACCATATATTTTATGAGTGGATGATGAGAGCAGCTGGTTTGACTTACCCATTTTGCGAAGGCGGATTTCTGTGGAGTCTGAGACATTGAAAACTGGAAGGTTCGAGCATGCTTAAGGTCCTGCCATTCTTCCAAACCTTCAAGGGAATCAGACACACAGGAACGATAACAGTCTATTTAAACTTTTTAAAGTTTACACAACTTTCCAATGCTATCAATATTATACTGTTGACGAAAGGTGAGATTTATGATGAGGTTTTCCTGTACTGTCAGGTTTCTTATCGCCATAGGTAACCAAGTACCCTACAAATAAATATACTGTGTGCAATCAAAGACGTGGAGCCCTTTAAATTTGCACACCAATTTTTTTTTTCCAAAGCAAGAATTTCCATTCATTGAAATATTAGATAATGTTGCGTATTGATGATTTAAACGGCTAGATCACGTTTTGCTCCATTTAAGCGTGCCCTTAAATTAAAAAGAAAAACACTAGAGTTCTCTGTCGCCTAGGTCACTGGCCTATGATGTTTTAAATAAATATATATAAGTTCTGAATAATTGATCGAGGTACACACAAACTAGCTTCAAACACGCTTTGAGTATAAGGGTACTGAAAAGGGTTACCTTATGTCCTGACCTTTTCTCTGTTTTCAACCCGCCAATGGAATCTCAGACTAGGAAGACAGCTTCGCAGAACTTGACTGCAAATAAATCCAAATAAATTATTTCAATGTTTAAAAAAAAATCCAATTGAACACAATGAGGAATATTCTTCGATTTTTTACCTTTAACATAATAAGCAATGACAATGTCTTATTGTATAAAACTAGGAGACACCGTATTGTTATTCGCTGCGCCACATACCCGTTATATGGATCTATATATACCTATTAAATATTCACACGAAAACTAAAACTGCTGCCTTTGTAGAAGTGCATTGATTTTCGATACATAAATGATAAAATGACATGGCTTGAACTTGGAACGTCGAGACTTGAACCCCCTTTCCTTCTGTTGGGTGGCTTGTCTCGCAGACATGATGATAATCTGGATTTTTATATATAACAATCATTTGATTTATATTCAGTTTATTTGAACAAGGAATATCGATGAGAAAAATCCCTCCAGACTTAAGCTTGCTTATCGAATTTAAATAACTTCCGGTTACGTCCACCCTGATCAATCCATGCACTTGAAAACCCTTTTCACCGCTGAGCAAGGCTTTGAAGTAAAAACAGGTTGTTATTAAGATTTTGCACTCAAAATCATCAATATCTTTTAATCTGTTATTATGCATTAAATGGCACAGTTTGAAACGAAACATATGAAGATAACGAATAGAATTCAAGATCAAAAATCCATTACACGATACAAAATAGGAGCAGAGCAAACACGGACCTCCAAAACATCAGAGGTGGGATCATGTGCCATGGAGGAGTAAGCATGCCCTGCCGACTAAACGTTAAATTTCACAATAGTGCTGATCTTCTGGAAGAAAGATTTTGGTCACTTTCACGAATTTTAACATAAAAGAGCACAAGGTCATTCAATTAAATAATACTTATCTATAACAGTGAAGCATGACAAAATTAAAAGAAATTATTAATTTTAAAACATGTTTTTATAATAAATTATACGAATTTTGTAATTGCAAAAATTTCAGAGAAACCAGGTCGAACAGGCTTGGAATCTCCTTTGACAATTTTTGCCAAACTCTGACGATAATGCTGCATTGTGAATTTCTTGATTTGGACTAAAAACAAGATCTTAATCTAGAACCACTGTATTTTTTTTTGTCTTCAATTTTGTACGAAATGAAACATTAAAATAATTTGAGTTGTTGTATTTATATGCAAAATTTTAATAAATGAGAATTATATTTTTTCTAAAATGAAATATATATTTTAAAAAAAATCAAAAGAGTTTTTTTTTTATTCATAAACCACTGTATTTTTTTTTAGTTTTCAATGTTGTACGAAATCAAACATTAAAATAATTTCAGTTGTTGTATTTAAGTTTCTTATATGCAAAATCTTAATAAATAAGAATTTAAGTTTTCCTAAAATGAATTATATATAAATAAAAAAATCAAGAGTTTTTTTTTATTCATAAACTTTCCTTAATCAATAGGGACCGCCTTTTACCCCCTACCCCAACCTGTAATTCTTATTACAGAGAAAAAGGACAAAAAGCGATGCCTTCCTGGTGTTTGTTTAGCGCGATAATCCTTCCCAATTGTCGCATTCTTTACATTGATAATGGAAGATTTATAACCTTTGAAGTCTAAATCCGGTGTCACCTTTAGTCCTATATATACCATAAACTTTACAGCTGCCTCTTAATGACATTTCATGTTGCAATTCCCCTAAATACTAACTTGGTCGCATGCGTATAATACTACAAAAACAAGTTTAAATAAAACAATATTTATTCAGGGAAATGCATGAACTGGGCAACAGCAATAGCAACATGTACAGATGTATGGTTAAAGTTCGCGTTTTTCGCGGACAACTCTCATATACATGATATATATATATATATATATATATATATATATATATATATATATATATATATATATATATATATATATATATATATATATATATATATATTCCTTCCATAAGCTATTTTGACACAATCTAAGATGTTTTACCTATTGAAGTTTTCGTTAATTTTTTTTATTTGCGAATGTCATTGATACAATATATCCCATCATGCGGGATGTATACTATGTTGTACAATATGCTTTCAAAGTGATCAAACGGGAATTGATATTTTCTCCATTTTCTCAATTTATGACTATATTTCGCCAGAAAGCACAATTGCTCGTATTGCTCTGGCTTTCTCTCTATCTATCTCTCTCTCTGTGTGTGAGAGAGAGAGAGAGAGAGAGAGAGTTGGTTTGTTTGTTTGCGTCTAGTAAAGTCTATTTAATTCATTTTACACATTGTACACCCTTAACTTCCGTGTTGAAATAGGCTGTAAATCAATAAGACACCATGTATCATATATTTTCTATTTGATGAGGAGCAGGGGGATTAAACAAATGATCTATGGACATGTTACAAATGACATGGCATCAAATGTTTTAATAAATCTTAAGTCAACATCACTCGGTGCGCGTCTCCCTAAAATTGTCAAAATCAAGATAAATCGTGGCCTCTTCTTTGTAAAAAATTATTTTTCGCCAAGGGGGTGTTAATAAAAGGTTTCATTTCTATATTATGTCAGACGGGAGCTTTTGGAGGCTTGGTATTTTTGTTCGATACAAGAATAAACTTTAGGAATGATTGCACTTAAAGGCATGCGATTTTTGCGAGAGAATTAATTTTTTGTTATTTTATTAATTCTTATAGTAGCTGCAGGTCTGTAGCATTATGGTTTTATATATTTGTCTTTGACCATAACGCTACAGATCCCGTAATGCAAAAAAGGTGCAAATTTACGGGAATTTTTTTTTTTGGGGGAGGGGGGTCAATTACCTACCTTTCACTCCCTAATTCTAGACACATTCTGTAGCCAATATTTATATTTTGTCTACCTCCCAATCATTTATAGTTGTCTCTACAGGCAATAAACTCGCTTGAAGTGAATTTTCAGCAGTCTAACAAATAATTTTAGTCAAGCGAGTTTATCACTTGTAGAGACGACTATATTAAGGGTTGGGAGATAGATAAAATATACAGATTAGTTAAATAATGTGCCTAGAATTAGGGAGTGAAAGTTAGTTAATTGACCAATGCTGGAAAGTGGAGAAATTCTCCCCAAAAGTGCGCAAAAAATAATGCGCCGTAAATTGCACCTTTTTTGCATTACGGGATCTGTAGCGTTATGGTCAAAGACAAATATATAAAACCATAATGCTACAGATCTGCAGCTATTCTTATAGTAAATAACAATGACAAGAGATAGGATACAATGTCATTTTCAGCCAACAAGATACTGTATACAATGAATTTTCGCCCCATTCGCTCTACCCTCATTTGGGCGAATTTAAAACGGGGAGAATTCAAGGAATACATTATAATTTCTTAAACAACACCATGACCGGGCGAATTTAAAACGGGGCAAAAGGCGAACATAATACGGAATGAAAATAACCCTATATACAGTATCTGGAATGCAGGAGATCCTGCGGATTCGCAACCTGGCCCTCAAGGCGACTCACAGACCTGCTTCCTATTCAGCTGGCGCCTTTCTCACTTCGAACCCGGGTTCATCCTCTTTCATTTATATTTGGTTTGTAAGATTTACAACCATTTTCCTTACTTTAAAATACAGTTATAATTTACTTAAAGATTTACTACGGACAAAGCCATTTCACCTCTTACATCTTTATAATCACTGACCAATTTCGAAAGTAAATATGTACAGTCTTAAAAAGTAAATGAAAGTTTATTTCCAGGATTTCTTTTTAGAAACTCGCCCCTCCCTCCTCATGACGTTTGAACTATGTAGCATCCCAATTGCGTCAGAAGCCCAGAATCCATTCGCAGCCACGAATATGACGTCGATATCGATCATTGTTTGCCGAAGTTGGCAATCAAATCGAAAACAAGAACTCGCAGATTTTTTTTTTCCTTAACAATGTTCCAGTGGAGATTCTTTTATTTGTTCCTTTTTTTTTTTGGGGGGGGGGGGGTAGGGGGGATATGCTCGCTAACTACTGTCTGCAGGTTTTCCAATCGATATTTTCTGCAAAACTGTCGACAGGATAATTTCGTGCGCATTGATATGTCCAGTCTATAAATATAAAGAATGTAAAGGGAAAGTAGCAGCATGCTTATCAGAATAAATTTATTTCAAATTCTTCTTGAGGTGAATTTTGTTGTCGATGAAACATCTATAAATGGTTACTTACAATGCAAAAGTTGTAAGGTAGTTAAAGTCAAACGACACTTCAAGTTCATCCCATTTTATTGTGGAAAGATCCTGCAAATGATGGGACCAATAAGCAGATAAGGACTATGTCAAAAAGAAATTCCAGGTATTATTATTAATAAATATTTTAAAGTACCCACGTTGCCTATAATCAATGACCGTTTTACCAACAAAAAGTGTCGGGAACCCAAGAGGCTCATGCGGGCTTTGCGACCGAACATCGTCGGGGAAACAAGTCGAATTTCTACGATGATCTCTGGGCTACCTAACTTGGCAATAGGATTGGAGTGACCGACCATAGCCTCTGAGGTCTTCTTAGAATGCTGAGGTGTTGTCTTCTAAAATGCTTCTTTAAGTACTTTTCCAGCAGAGGACTTAACGTGGCCGATCGACCGCGGCTTTCAGAAGTCTTCCCTAACCTAGGAAGAGGAGAAGACAGTAAACGACATCCCCTGTAGGTTATTTTTTCCAGAGTGACTGATGTATCGCCAGGGTTGGTAGATCGAAAAAAAAACCTTCAATGGTACTTAGGCAACATCCTATTATTAACACTCGATCACCAAGGGAGCTCGCGGCCCTGAAAGATATCCTCATATCTCCCTTTGTAAGATGGAAATTCTTCAAAATCATAGGTCACTTTTAAATAATATTTCCAACAATCAAATTGAATTTGAATTACCAGGATTCTTAAACTATATGAAAATATTTACGAAGAAAGATTCATATAGGATTGCAGGAAAAGTTTTACCAAACCTTCTTATCTTCTCACGAAAATATTAAAACCAGTAAAAGAAAAACTTAGGTGCATCAGTATATTCGAGATTGGAGAAGCTGTGTAAATCAGATATAGATACTTAAAATATTCAAGGAACCTTTGGAAGTTTAAAATCACAAAATTTTACCCAAATCAATAACATCAAAACGCACGACTTTTCAACAAATTCATACCCACCATCGCCCACGATAAATTAAAGCTCAGGCTTTTTGACATGATAGTCAA